TACAACACAGATTAATCCCAACTCATTAATAGTAATGGACTTGAATACCACACTGTCTCCATTAGATAGGTCAACAGGGCAGAGAGTAAACAGAAACACATCTCAATTTAACAACACCACATCAAATGGACCTAACAGACATCTACCGAGTATTCCACCCAAGCACCAACAAAAAGGTTGAAATAATTCCATGCATTCTATCAGACCACAATGCAATAAAGCATACAATCAACACCGAAAGAAGCCCTAGTCACCACATGAACACATGGAGATTAAACAACACATTCCTGAATGATGAAATGAGTCAAAAGACAAATTAAGAAAGAAAGAAAAGGATTCCTGGAACTAAAGAAAAGTACAATACAACACAACAAAACCTCTGGGACACGCTGAAAGTGGTCCTTAGAGGGAAGTTTAAAGCTCCAAGTGCCTACATGAAAAAATCAGAAAGAAAACAAATAAATGACTTAACATTGCAACTCAAGACACTTGAAAAGCAACAACAAATGAAACCCAAACCCAGTAGAGAAGAAAATGAGCCTAGATACACCCATCAGGATAGACTTGATCTTACAGAGATCTTTCTTTCTCTGTCTCTGAGTGCCAGTATTAAAGGCATACACCACTATGCCCTACTTTCGTTTTATAATTTATGGAAAATTTCATATATCAGTACAGTATTTCCATCATTTCCAAACCTTCCTCTCCAGAAAAGGGGAAATAGGAATCCTGAAGTGATTGAACATGGGTGCAGCCACTATGGAAATCACTGTGGAGAACTCTCCAAAAGCTAAACGTAGATCTACCATATGATCTAGCTATATCAATCCTGGGCAAATACTCAAAACCCTTGAAATCCTATTACCAAGATACTTGCTCATTCATACTCACTGCTGCTCTTTTCACAATTGCTAGGAAAGGAAAACAACCTACATGTCCTTCAAATGATGAGTAAATAATGAAAATGTGGTACATATGCACAATGGAATTCTATCCAGGTGTAAAGAAAAATGAAATCATAAAGTTTGCAAGAAAGATGGAATTAGAAAATATTACACCAAAGTGAGGTGACTCAGATCCCAAAAGACAAACATGGATTATTTATGGATTTATGGATTTCAGCTCCAAATCTTTACAAGTGAGTATATAAACTGACAACCACAGAACTAAGGAAAGGATTTGTTTTATTATAAAGATATGAGTTTATCTGGACTTATAAAATATCTTATCTTGATTTAGTAAAAATACAAACTGAACTCTACATGCAACTTCTCTGCATTTAATGTCAAAGAAAAATATTGTATTATTTTGATTAGTCTAAAAAATATGAGCAAAGATTACTTTCAATAGATTGACAAAGTATAAACCTGGAGTCTAATTGAACTGAATTATACAGCCAATAACAAATGCATTCCCTCCTATCTGTATTCTTTTAGTGACATTAATTACATGCAGTAATTATGTTGCTGATGTGTCAGTTTGATTTATAGCATCTTTAGGTTAAGTACTTTTGTCTTCAAGGATCTAGTTGTTTCTAAACATGGAGGATGATGAAGGACAGAAATTGATAGAAAATTTTATGTTTAGGAATCTTAGTATTAACTGATTTTTAAAAATATTTTATTGTTATCTTATGTACACGTGTTTTGCCTGCATGTACATAAGTGCACCACATGTGTGCAATGCCTGTGGAGGCCAGAAGGCATCAGAAGCCCAAAGTGGCTAGGAGGAAGTCTTAGCTTCCAGTTCAATAGAATATTTATTGTGTGAGCTTTGTTTTTGCTCTTTCCTTGAGCCAGATCTTAGAGTTGGAGATGCCGATGCTCGGTTGCATCAATTAAATGTAATATAATAGGTTTAACAGGACTTCAGAGTAGGGGTCAGGTGGCAATACTGAATTGCCACAGGTGAGCATACCTATCATAATGGGTAGCAAAGGCAAAACAATGCTTATAATGGCATGACCTGAATGGACCTTTGGTACTGGCTAATCAATCATGGTGTTTCCAGGAACCAAATACATAAGAAGCCTACTAAGTTTTTATTTGATCTGTATAAGCAGAAAAGCTCTAGAACAAATGAATGCCTTCTGTTCTCAAGAAAGTACCTATGGCTTCATGGGGTGTGACCTATGATCGGTTGACTGAGGGAGAGAAGATTAGGGTTTGGTTTGCAGGTGGCTCTGCACACTACGCAGGTACCACTCAGAAGCAGACAGCTGCAGCATTACACTCAATTTCTGTAACAACCCTGAAGGACTGGTAAAGGAAAGTCTTCACAGTGGGCAGAACATCATGCAGTGTACATGGTCGTGCATTTTCCTTGAAAGGAGAAATGGCCAGAAGTGCAATTAATTACTGATTCATGGACTGTAGTCAATGTTTCGAATGGATGGTCAGGGTCTTGGAAGGAGCATGACTGGAAAATTGGTGAGAAAGACATTTGGAGAAGTAGTATGTGGACAGATCTCTCCGAAAGGGCAAAGGATGTAAATATACTTATGTTTCATGTAAATGTTCATAAAAAGGTGATCTCAGCAGAGGATCAGTTCAACAATCAAGTAGAGCAGACGATCCATTTAGTTAGCCTCTTTTTCCAGCTATCCCTGTCATTCCTCAATGGGACTGGATGAACAAAGTGGCCACGGTGGCAGAGATGGAGGTTATGCATGGGTTCAACAGCATGGACTCTCACCAAGGCTGATCCGGCTACAGCTGCTGCTAAGTGCCAGATGTGCCAACAGCTGAGATCAACACTGGTGCCCCCAATATGGCACTATTCCCCAGGGTGAACCACCTGGCAACCTGGTGGCAGGTTGACTATACTGGACCACATCTACCTTGGAGAGGAAAACACTTTGCCCTTACAGGACAAATACTTATTCTGGTTATGGATTTACCTTTTGTGCATGTAATGCTTCTGCCAAAACTACCATCCAGGGACTTACAGAATGCCTTATCACCATCATGGTATTCTGCACAGCATTGCTTCTGTCCCAGGAAATCACGTCATAGCCAAAGTGTGACAGTGGGTGCATGGTCATGGATTCCACTGGTCTTAACATGTTCCCCACCATCCTGAAGCAGCTGGCATGAGAGAGCAATGGAATTGCCTCTGAAAGACACACAGTGCCAATTAGGTGGCAGTATCCTGGAGGGATGGGGAAAGATCATCCAGAAGGCAGTATAATGCTTTGAATTAGTGCCCAATATATGGTACTGTTTCTCCTATAGCCAGGAATCAATGGATGGAAGTGGGAATGATTCCACTCACTACCACTCATGATCCACTAGGAAAATTTTGCTTCCTGTACCCATGACTGCACTCTGCTGGCTTAGAAGTTCTGGACCCAGAAAGGGGAGTGCTTCTGCAAGGAGACACAACAAACATTCTATTGAACTGGAAGCTAAGACTTCCCCCTGACCACTTTGGGCTTCTGATACCTTTAAGTCAACAGGCTAAGAAAGGAATAGCAATATTAGGAGGAGTGATTGACCCACACTACCAGGGAAACAGGACTGTTTTCCACAATGGAAATAAGGATAATGTCTAGAAGTCAGGAGATTCCCTAGAGTGCCTTTTGTTGTTACCATGTCCTGTGATTAAAGTCAATGGGAAAGTGCAACAACCCAATCCAGATAAAACAAATGACCCTGAACCTTCAGTGATGAAGGTATAGGTCACTCTTTGAGGAAAAGTGCCAAGACCTGCAGAAGTGGTTGCTGATAGTGGAAGAAATATAGAATGGGTAGTAGAGGAAGGTAATTTTAAATATCAGCTAAGGACACATGGCCAGCTGCAGAAACACCAGTGGATTGTAATTGACACGTTTGTGTCCTATTTGGTTAAGAACACTGTTTGCACACATATATTTCAACTTTAAACAATAGCTATTGAAACCATGGAAAACCCTCCAAAAAAAAAAAAAAAAAAAAAAAGAATATGCTTGTCCATATATACACATATACTAAGCAAATATTTGTGTTGTTCCCTTTTGAATGCGTAATTGAGATGTGTCAAGTAGTGACATGTTGTAAATCTACATTATTGCACTCAGTTTATGAGATACTAAAGGACTAAGCATTCTTTGAAAACCTTCCTACCTACTCTAAGATATATAATGCCTTGATCATTGTATGGTGAGATAGTTATATCATGTTGACCTTGCTATTGTTTTCATTTGAAAATTAAGCATGACAAAAGGAGAAGCTATTGGATGTCAAGTTGACAAGGGGTGGACTTGTGATAGCTAATCCTGGGTATTAATTTGACTGGATCTGGGATTAACTGAAATGAGACCTTGATTGGATCAACTGAAGCTGGAAGGCCCACCCTAAATATGGGCATTGCTTTCTGATGACAGTCATATAAAAGGGCATGGTAGAAGGAAGCTCTTGCTTTGTTGTGCCTCGCCTTCTCTCTCACTTTGTCTGGCTGCTGTGACCAATTTCTTCAGATTCCAACATAGACTGAAGACTAGCAGATCTCTTGGAATTCGTCAGGCCTTCAGTGGGGGCGGGGGGAGACAACAAGCTTCTCCAGCTCCTCACATTGTTTCAGTCACTGCAATTGAAAATTTTATATTGTGTCACTCTTATACTGCTGTTTTGGATCTCAGTTATCCCCACAAAGTTTGAGGTTTGGTTCCCAGTTCAATGGTGATCAGAGGTGGTGTTTCTGCAGGGTCGTTACATTATGAAGGTTCTGACTTCATCAATGGTTTAATTCCTGGATGAACTCAGTTGAATAGAATACTGACAAGAGGTAGAAGCTGTCAAAGAAGGATCTAATTGTCAATGTGGATTATGGGGGGGGTAGGCATATCTTTGAAAGGTATAACCCTGGCCTCTGCCTGTTCCTGTCTCTATTTTCTGGACATGAGCTGAGCACTCTTAATCTATCAGGAGTTCCCCATCATGATGTGGTCTCTCACTGTGGCCTAAAAGGTATAGTGTCAACTAGCTAGGAGATGAAGACTCTGAGGGAATGACATGCAAAATCTTTCACTCCTCAAGTTGTTTAAAGCAGTTTGTCATAGTGATAAAAAACATACTGAAGTTTATGATTGATAAAGCACTCCATCTTATGCTTTTTTCTATGAGTTCATCTTGTAGATTCTTTTGTATAAAAAAAAATCCCCTTGGATATTCATAATAATTTTTTTAAAAGCTTTATGTTTCTTATCTCTGGGTTTCTCAGCGATCTCTTTAGGATCTAGATACAGAAGAAGACTTGATTTAAAAGGGTTTCTTAATGTTAAAGTTGTAGATGAGCTGGAGATGGGATGAGGTATTCCTAAATGAAGCTAGGTACTCCAGGAGGGCACTCCCAAGAAGAGAACTGCTTTATGAAGAAAAAGCCCAGTCGAACTGGAATGTGGAGCTGAAAGTGAAATGGGTAAATCTTCTATGTGGCTCCATGGGAGAAATATGGAAGAACAGGTCACTCTTCAACACCAGGAAAGAAGGTCTAGAAATAGACAGTCAAAACAGTAATTTACTTAATGAGAAATGATAAGATTTAAATCCCCAAATAATAATTCTGTACCCTTTAATCCAGATCATGGGCTTTTCCAGGTGCCAGTTTTGCCCAGAGCCTTGTGCTTAGCTGCCTGTACCTGTCCCTCTGGGCACATGATATCATTATTTGTTCTCCATTGGGAAAAGTAGACATAAGAGACATATCCTCAGAAATCCCATGCTATTGGAATAGCTTTTGGTCAGAAGGAACTATAAACATAGCAAAGAGATGAGAGAGTAGCCAAAGATTTCACTCATGCATTTTCTTGGTGCACAGGCAGAAAAACAGACTGAGGCAAAGTGTACTGAAATCAACAGGGCAACAGAGTTCTCCAAACTCCACTATAGCCTACATCCTTGTCTCTATCTTTAAGTCTCCCCTTTTCTTGTCTCTCAGATTCTGGGCTTCCTTTCATAACCCTCTTTACTTGAATGGATCTTCCAGAGGAGACAATATCATATTTTTGGAGCACTTCCTCCACGCCTAATAGAAATAAGTACTAAACACAAATAGGCGGTTTCTATTATTTGCTTAGGACAACATATCTAGACAAAGATGTGAGGTTGCAATCTGAGGTCATATTCCATATGTAGGCCTGCTTTCTACAAGGCACATCTGAAGGCAAATGGTCCTCCTTGCCTGGGAATATCAATGAAACTTTTAGGAAAGAATGCAGGATATTCAGGTCAGTGGTAGAGTTCCTGCCCTGAATTCCATCCCCAGCACTATAAAAGAAAATAAAAACTACAGACGGACAGTTTTGTTGTTGTTGTTTTTCCAGATAATGGAGAACTCCAAGTAAAGAGGGCGGGTAAGTCCAAAGGCATAGGGCTATGAAACTACATAGGGCATTCTTAGAGATAAAGTTTGTTTTTGTTTGTTTGTTTTTCTGGGTTAGTTTACAAACTAATAGATTTCCTTATGCTATTTCATACATATTTAGCTTTGATTGTATCACCACTCATTCTATCCCACATCATGGTGCCCACTCCCATTTAAGATCTTCCACCCCTAATATTTCTTGTTTTCATGTGTATCTGTTTGATTACCTGCTCCACCTCTCCCTTAAAGCCTCTTTATTCTCCTTGTTGGCTTCTTTCTAGTGTCCTGCCTGTACAAACACTCATCCACACATAAATGCAGATGTATAAAAATGGAAAGCTAGGATTTACACACTGGAGCGTAGTTTCTGAGCCTTGGTTACTTCAACTAATATATTCTCCAGTCCCATTCATTTTCATATTTTTCTTTATGTCCTGAATAAAATTATATTGCATATATGTACCACATTTTAATTATTCATTCATCAGTTGGACATCCAGGCTGATTTCACTCCTTTGCTACTGTGAATAAAGCAGCAAATGGATTTGTACATATCTTATACAGGACATGGAGACTAGGTTAGGCTGAAACGTTCTACCCTCCTACCTCAGTCTTCCAAGTGCTGGGTGTACAGGTGTATACCATATCCAGTTGACTCTCATCTTTCTGTCCTTTGTCATAATGTACCATTTGGCTTGTAGTGAGAGCTCAAATGATTGTGAGTTAAGTAAAATATGATTGTGGGTTAAGTAAAATATGAGATGTGTGCTGTCATGTAGACATGATCAAGTATCTAAAGATTATTGTAGCAGCAAGAAACGATCTTCAGCGAAATAAAGACCATGCAACTTATAAAGCGCATTTCAACTTAATGGAAAACATTATCTGACATAATTATGTATAAAATTGAAGTTGTTGGAGCTGAGAAATTCCATCATGTACCTCTCAGAAATCAATACCAAAACATAGATGAAGACTTTTTACATAAAGCAAAATAAATGTAGTAGGCATTTCCTTTATTTTCAACTCAAAAACTTTAATGATAAAACGTGCCTCTGTTTTTAGTCAAAGGGTGGTTTATAGTGTTTTGTTGTTTTTGTGATGCTCACTATTGTACCCCAAGTCTCACACACAAAGAGTACCCACTCAACCATTGAGTTATATCACCAGCCGAAGTAAAGGTTTTATGAGAAGGAATTTCCTCTATTTCAACTTGGAATATTTGTTATTTAATCAACAAATACTTATAGAGTAAGTATTTGCTATACTCATTCCTCTGCACCTGAGACTTTAATCTCTTCAGCATGTTTTCAAATCAGCCTATCAAATACCTTCTATGAAGTGGTACAGCAATTACAAGGAACTTACATACTCCCTTCTGTATACTTTAAATCACCTTTAGGTAATATATAATACATAATAAAATGTAAGTGCTATGATTTTTAGGCGGCAGCTTCAAGAAACAATCTGCATACATTCAGGACATTCTTTTATCAATTTTAATTTTCTTTTAGATATGGTTTTGCTATGTATCACAGGTTGGCCTCAAATTTGAGACTTAGGCTTCAGTATCCTTTGTAGTGTGATTATAAACACGCATGACTATGCCTAGTCAATTTTGATGCTGCTGTTTTTGTTTTTCTTTTCCTCTCACTAATGAGGATCAAACTCAAGTCTTGCAACTCAGATACTTTTATGTGTGGTTGGTTGGATCCATGAAAGTGGAACCTATGGAACCCAGGACTAAATGGACCAATACTATGCTCAGTGCTAGAAATATTAAAAGAAAATGTAATAGGAAAGACACAGTCACCTCAGTATAATTTAAGAACAACATAAATATGCAGGGAACAATGAGAATGCATAATAGAGTTCCTGAACTGATTTTTAGGATTAAGCCATATTTTTTTTGTTTTAAAATACATTATTTTTAGTTTATGTGTATGAGTGTATTGCCTGCATATATGGAAATTCACCTGTGTTGTGCAATGCCTGTGGAGGTCAGAAGATGGAGTTGGATACCCCTGGAACTGGAGTTACAGACAACTACTAGCCACCATTGAGCCATCTCTCCAGCCCGTCATTTTTTTTTTAATGTTTTGCCTGCATATAATGCACACATTGCACATGTGTGTACAATGCCTTCAGAGACCAGAAAAGGGTGTTTGATCTCCTAGAACTAGAGTTACAGACAATTCTTAGCCTCTATGTGAGTGCTAGGGATCAAACCCAGATCCTTTGCAAGAGCAGCCAACGCTATCAGCATCTGAGCCATCTTTGCAATCCTGGATTAAGACATATTATGATGTAGATAGAGGGATACAGTGAGACTGGACTGACAATAGACTTCCTTAAAAATACTTGTACAATATCCTTGAGTCAAGCTTGAGTCAGGATAGTCTATTTCAAAACCCTGGATTGTGATATAAGGATAATAAGACATCTTCAAATTCAGCATTCCAAAATTATCTATCTCCATATTTCCCTGGGATTGGAAGAGAGAGTGACTACAAGATACCGAGATGACTCTGAAAACACTTTGTTCTTGAGAGCAGAGATGGATTATTATCAGACAGAAATGACGCAGTGGAAATACCTGCATAGCATATAATGTTCTTTATAAATATGCAGAATTGAGACAGTGGTGGTGGACGCAGAGGTCTTGGTCGGCAAGGCTAACAAAAACAGTGATAAAACACAATGTTTCATAAGTGAATTTGAAATGTATGGCATATTCTCATTTTAAGTGCTTTTAAGTGTTTGCATCTTTCCAGACAACTTCCGAAGCTTTATGGAGCCAGAGAATCTAATAGTTACTTAAAATTCAAGCTACTGGGATTGTCAAAAGAAAACAACATCCAGCCCCTTGTGTTGGGGCTGTCTGTGTCCATGTACCTGGTCTGTGTTGTAGGGAACACTCTCATTACCCTGCCCATCAGCACTGAGTCCCACCTGCCCACTCCAATCTCTCTTTCATAGACATTCGTTTCACTCCCACCACAATCTCTAAGATATTGGTGAACATCAAGGTACAGAACAAAGCCATCACGTATGAAGGTCACCTCACCCAGACGTATTTTTTCACGGCCTTTTCTGTACTGGATAGTGTGTTGCTGACAGTGATGGCCTATGACTTGTTTGTGGCCATGTTACTCACTGCACTACATAATCACCATAAGCCCTCAGCTTTGTGGTCTTCTACTTCTACTATCTTGGCTAATCTGCCTGACCTATTCTTTGATTCAAAGTTTGTTTTGTTTATTTTTATGTGTATAAGTGTATTGCCTGCATGTAAGTGCACCCAAGTCACGCAATGCCTACAGAGGTCAGAAGTGGCCATCAGATCCCCTGGAACTGGAATTAAGGACAGTTGTTAGCTGCCATATGGGTGCTGGAATCCAAACCTGGGTCCTCCACAAGAGCAGGCAGTACTCTTAACCACTGAGCCATCTTCCCAGCCCCCTAAAGTCAAAAGGTTTTGAGGGTGACTTTCTGCAAGGAAACAGAAATCCCCCATTACTTCAGTGAACTTCCTCAGATACTCAAGTCTGCCTGTTCAGACACCCATGCCAATGATATCCTGCTCTATTCTGTAACTGGTCTGCTAAATTATTATTCCCGACTGGGATTCTATTCTCTTATTCTGAATCCTTTACCTCCACAGTGGACGTTTCATCTGCTAATGAGAATTATAAAGCCTTTTCTACCTGAAGTATCACCTTTCAGTGGTCTCCTGATTCTATGGTGCAGGGATTGGGGTCTATCTCCTTTCTGGAACAACCCACCCTCCAAGACCTCTTTATCTACAGCCTGAGGAGTAGAGACAGACCAAAAGGGTGCTCTGATGAGACTTTTTCAGCATAGGAGGTTGCTCAGTAAGATTATCGATAATGTATCTTGATGGTATCCACCCCCAATTCCCACACCCCCTTGGAATTCCCCATGATGATATCCACCCCCAATTCCCACTTCCCCTTGGAATTCCCCATGTCCCCTTCCCACCTTCATGTTTTCTTACTTTTTTTGTGTCTTTTTTGAGACAGGGTCGCACTGTAGACCCAGCTGGCCTGGAACTCACTATGTAGACAAGATTGGCCTCAAACTCAGATTCTCTGCCTCACAAGTGC